GCTAACAGGCAGATTGGGACGCGAAATTTCGACTGTACTCGACGCGATTCAATCGAGTTTTTAATTCGCCGGAACGGCTCGCATAGAAAATCAAATTTCATTCAATTTCAGTTCCTTCGGATCCGTTTAATTTCTCTATTCGATCCCCGCGGCTCGTTTTTCATCCAATGACGAGGTCTCGTCGGCGAGTCCCCGTGAATTGTACACTGAGAATAAGAAAATTGTTAATGTGAATTAATGTTTCGGTCGAACGATCATCTCCTTCGTTGCACCGATTTTTCTTGCATAATAATAAGTAAACAAGTACAAGTAACAACTAATACAAGTAAAATAACGAGGTACATATAGGAAACTTAACTCTTAACGGAGTAAGAATATAAGTGCAATGGCACTTTTACTTACTGTGTCCAATTTCACTATTATTATCACTTATTCTTTTAATATTCGCAATTAACACGTATGGTGCTAAATCATTTCTACGAATTTCTCTCCGTTTGTTAGCAAGCTTGAAATGCTTCTACTCCGTTAAGGGTTAACCCTTTTCACTCGAAAGTTCCTCAACGGAAACATTCAACACTTTCTGACGAGATATAGGTCATATTGTTTGAAACTAATTTAACGATAATTCATAAATAAATGCAGCAACAGAGGTGTTTTATTTAAATATTGCACATATCAATGCAAACTTTAATTTGAAATATTAAATATTCAACTCCATAGTTTTGTTGTATCGAATCACGTGGCGACTGAGTCACCTCTCGAGTGCAACGGGTTAATATTCAAAATAAATACGGCGAGCACATCGAAAAACCATCTCACCCTCCACAGATAAACACTCGCGTCCACTCGCGGAACATCATCCAAGCGAAATTCACTCTGCCAGAAAGCAATCCAGCCAGCAGCCATACTTCTCGCTCGAAATCCTCCTTGGGGGGACTCTAAATCACCGGCGGTTCGCGGAATCGCGCGAAAGTTTCATTCGGGGGCGAAAAATTTCGAGCGGTTTAATCGTTGTAAAAAAACCGGTGGAACTTCTTTGGCCACGGGGAAGAACGCGCGAAGAACAGGCGGGCGGCATGGTGTGAGGATCCAGGAAGGCGTCGGGGAGCTTCCGGTAACCTTGCGGAGTCCGCAGCGTCGGCGATTGCGCGCGATTCAAATTGCTCCATTTATTTTCCGCTCGCGCGCCCCGCCCGTGGGGGTTGAAACGCGAAATCGAAATTCAGGGATGACCCCGCGGTGTTCGCGCTCGGTTTCCCCTCGCCTGTGGGACTGGCACCGGTAACCTGTCCGGGAAAGGTCGGGCGAAAAAGAGCGGCGGCGCGGGGGGCGGAGGGGACAGAGTCCCGAGGTGGCCAAAGAAGTTCTAACGACTTGGCGGAACGACCGCGACTTCCAACCCCTTCCTTGACGACTCGATCTTCTGCCCTTTTCAGTACATCCTGCTGATGTCCGAGGCTATCGTGGTGCTGGCTGGCGAGAGCGCGCTGACGAACTTTCTTTCGCGGCGTGCCAAGAGCCACATACACTGGATCCTGCAGGTGTTAGGGCTGGGGTGCATCCTGGCCGGCGTGGTGATCATGTACAGGGTGAAGAAGGTACACTTCAAATCGAACCACGCGATACTGGGCCTGTCCTCGCTCGTTATGATGATCGTCCTGACTGTCTGCGGTTACCCTGTGCTGGTTGCGGCGAAACTACGGAAGCTGATCAGACCGGTGATCCTCAAGTTCGGCCACAACCTGTTAGGTATAAGCTGCTTCGTCGTGGGCATGGCCTCGCAGTGCCTCGGATACAAGATGAGATGGCTGCCGAACGTTTCCGGTATACCGAACGTTCAGGCGATCTCGCTCGTGCTGACCTCCGCGATTATCGTTCTGACCGTCAGGAGCGCTTTGCCTACGCTCTTCCGGCAGTTTAGGTCTTGCTTTAGGTAGAATTTTTAGGAGAGGCTGCTGCTTTGATGCATTTATTTGGGGGGTTTGGGGTCGTTTGTATGGTGAGTGGAGATTCTTTCGGTTTCCATAGTTTGCGTCACGTGGATCTCTTAGTAGATTTAGTCTGAAATTTTGTGAACTTTATTTGATCGGTTTTATATTTTTGAATCAATTATTCCTAAGTTTAGATTTTGATCGTTTTTATATTTTTGAAGCAAGTCCTTCTCAAGTTTAGATTTTGATGGTTTTTATATTTTTGAAGCAAGTCCTTCTCAAGTTTAGATTTTGATCGTTTTTATATTTTTGAAGCAAATCCTTCTCAAGTTTAGATTTTGATCGTTTTTATATTTTTGAGCCAAGTTGTTCTCAAGTTTAGATTTTGATCGTTTCTATATTTTTGAATCAAGTCCTTCTCAAGTTTAGATTTTGATTGTTTTCATATTTTTGAATCAAGTCGTTCAAGTGTTCTGTTTGAATGAATTTTTTAGCTTGAGTAATTTTCGAATTTCCGAGTTGAGTAGATTTTATATTTTCCATTCGTGTTTCCCAAGTTTCAGCTCGAATTTTCAAATGTGTCTGTAACATATTACTTTGAATCATTGCAAAGACACTTAGATTTCACGGTAGAAAATACAATTCCACTTTCTCCGTGCGAAAGCATTATTACAAACGATCCCAACCATCCGAGCCGCAGCGCGATTCCACGGAAGATGATCCGAGTTCATCATTGATACGGCCCGATACACATTCCCGAAAATTCATTTGAAACTCTGAAACTGTTCCGTAATCCGATCACCATTGAGGATCGGATCGATGGTCGCGTAAACATTCCGCGAGAATAATTATTGAGCGCAGTCCGCGTCGGCGGAACGACGAGAGATAGACGTGTCTGGAGATAAATATTGTTTACAATAGATTTTCATTTGCCCGGCGATCCCCGGCAACACGGGGAACTCCGGTGATCGGCTGCTGGAAAATACGTATTGCGTTAACGCCGCTGACGCGATCGCGTCGCGTAATCAAAGTTCAATTATATAAAGTCATTACGGCCGGGCATGTCCGCGGAATATCTGCTCGCTCGTTTAATAGGCGAGTTTACGCGTTGATTCAAAAGAGGCGGCCCGCGCCGCTCTCGTCCAACGAAATCCCAGATTGTAATTCTTCTCTCGCGCGACCGGTGCTTAATTAATCGAAACAATTGCCCGCGCGAAGGACGGGTTCGGACCTTCCACGGACAACACGTATAAAGCGCGTTAATTCGTGGGAAGAAGTCGAGCTTAAAAGTTTCTCTCTACCGTAGAATTAATATTAAAGACAGTCGTCAAATAACCGGTTTTAAAATTCCATTAAAAATCCTGCGTCTTCTTGATTATATTCATTGACTAGATTTGATTCGATTAGCATTGATTAGAAATTTACACGAACTCTTATCCGATTTTTCCCGAATGAATTCTTCAAATTTTCTCTTCTCGACTCACTGATTCGTTTACCTGTATTTTACAATCGGTTATTTGATTGATTATGGTAGATCTAGATGTATATATAGCGATACGTATATTTAACGTCAGAGTTCTCTCTATACTGTATAATAATGAGGAATAAAAGGAAACGATGGTAAGAATGATCGTAGAAACATCTTACCTTGAATTTTGTATTGTCAGACACAATTAACTCGCCCGATCGAATCAAAGTACCGTTGTTACGATTGATTATGTTTGACTGATTACCGATGCTATCTTCTACGTGATTCGAAGCAAATCAATCGCGCCGATACACGCTCGATAATGAAACATTCTTTGGAACTATTTCGTGTGACACGAGTAGGCCTGGTCGAGTGCCGATCTAGATTCGCCGGATCGGTCACGATTAATCTGATAACTGTATCAGCCGCGTATTAGAAAGTAATCCGTGTAGCAGATATTCTCCTCGGATCGGTATACGAGAAATATTTTCGAATCGTGCGGGATTTATCGTAGAACGAGGAAGATCATCGGGTTTCCTCGATTAGGTAATCGTTCGTCACGGTCCGCACGCGATTTCTCGCTAGAAAGATCGTCGGGTTTCCCGCGTTGCGGCCTGGACGTCGGATCGTTATCCGTATCGCCGATAAAACGGGATGCAATCTGGAGAACATGATTTAATTAACGCCTCGTGTTTAATGTTAATCTGTTCGCGCTGCAATCATCTTGCGCGGGGATGATTAATACGTCCGTTGACACCCGATAAACTGGACGTGACCGATAGAACCGGCCGATTCGTTTCGCGAGCCCCGATAAAAACCCAGAAGGAAACGCGCGACGGCCGTTCCAGACACCGCCGGTATTTATTCCGGCGGAGCGCTGATTGCCACATTGACTGGCACGGGCGGCGCGCTTCCAGATTAACACGTAGACGCGGAACACGGCCGGATCAATGCGTGTCATTTAGCCGAGTCAAACGTGAGCCAGGTTAATCAGAACGCGCCGCGATTCTGCTCGTCGATTCTACCGCTTTTCTTCCGGGGAAGTCAATTATTTTTTCTCAAACGCACGGCGCTCGGTGTCCACTGAACGTTCGATGTTTATGGAATAGTTTCAATCGAGCCGATTCAAACGCAAATCAATCTTGACGCTGTTTCGAGTATCTAACACATGAGTGTATTTGGTAAACAATGGTTTTAGAGTTTTAATTTTAGCTGGGGAAGGAATTGAGGTACGAGACGACTTTTAACCTTTTGCAGTTGAGAATCACTGTCACTTGGTTTGATACAGTAAAATTAGGTTTGATGTGTAATGTTAACCCTTGCGGACGAATGTCGACATTTCGGCGAGATGAAGCATATTTGCAAGACTAAGTCGCAGGCAAATGATTCAACCCCTTGCCCTATAACGAGTGAAGATTTTCAACATGATTCAACAAATATATATTGCTCAGTTCATTCGAATTCAAAGTAAATATTATTCCTCTGTAATTAACTATTATACTTAAAAGGAAATATAGGCATATGCTTAGAATTTTCCTCTTTTTCCAATAAATTATTAATGACAAAGTAACCGTATCGATCAGAGTTGAGAAAGGAATCATAGGCGAATGATTTAATTACTCGGACAGCAAGAGATTAGCATGTAGTTCCTGTTATCGCTATTTCAGCAATTAATGTATAATTTAGCTTCATCTGTTGAAGGTTTTCTACATTTTAAAGAATCTTCGTCCGCAAAGGGTTAAAGTTCGTCTAACGTAATTATCCATGGAACGTTAGAATAGAATAGCTCTATCCCTTGATTTCCATATTATTCACATCAATGTTAGTTATACACACCGTTGATATTCCATTAGAAAACGAAGAATATATCTAGCAAAACGATTTTCGAAGGATTATCCCCTTGGCATACTATTTACTTCCGCTACTAAGCTTGTGTAACATTTCGCTATCAATTATTTGGAAGAAACGCAGCAAAATTTTCCATTCTACTTGAAGTGGAAATTTCATTTGTAGATAATAATTTGATAATAGCAAAATAGTTTGTTTTGATCCGTGATGAACAACATTGATTGTTGTAAAATTGGTTTAGAAATCTTCATCACGAGTCACTCGTCATTGTACATCAAAGGGTTAATAAGTCAGTCCGCAAGGAAAGGTAAATGACTGCTCCAAGAAACAGCGAGAATTTCGGAAACCGTTGAAGCGTCAATTTTTAGGACACACGTACGGTATAAGCACCGAAAAAGCATAAAAGGGAATCGTGCCTTTTTTATGCCTCATCAAAACCGAAGGACTGTAACAGTATCGACGAGGTTCATCATAAAACGGCCGGGCTCTACATCTCATGCATTTTTAATCTTCATCGGCGCGAGCGATTTCACACGTCGAATAAAAAATAACGAGCGGCGGTGTTACTCGAATTTCCGAAAGTAACCCGCGGAAGAGGAAAAATCATTCCCGATCGACCAGCGCGGACGAGCAGTCGTCCGATATCGAGGGTAACCCGCGCTCGGAGATCGATGTCCCGCCGCCCAGCGGGATATGATAATGACTCGAAAGAAGATGTAAATAATGACGTTCGAACGAAGTGGCTCGAAACAGGCGATCGCATTTCGAAATCCTTTTCGCGTTTACGAATGTTGAGCATCGTTATCCTGGAAAGCTTTCAGGGGAACGCGATCGCGCGTGACTCGGTCCGCCGGTGCGCGGGAAAAATGGCTCATCGTCGCGCGCGCCGCTGGACCGTTCCCTCTGTTTTATGCGCGGGTAATTCACGGTTTGCGTTTCCCCGCTCTTTAGAAAGATTTTTTTCCCTCCCGTCCCCCCCTCCGGCGTCAAACAATCTCGAGTTACCGGTGCTAATTGGTCGCGCGACACGCTCGCGTGGATCGTATGTCTGATTACACCCGTCCCCGACCGCGCGGCGATCATTTACACGTCGCTTTTCCCCCGCTCCCGTCCGACCGTCGGCGGAGAACGCACAAGGAAAAAACCTTCTCGCGGGCTCAACAAGTTTATCGACCAACGGAACGGTTCGGCCGTTTAAATTCAGTCGCGCGACGCGCGGAAAATGCGGGAAAACGAACGCGACCCGGCGGAGAGAGCGTTTCACGCGCGCCGGAGTACGGAAAAATTTAATAAGATCCCGCCGCGGTGCGTTCGTCGCCGGAGAGAATGGAATAAAGGACAACCGCGATTGCGACAGAGCCCGAGCGAAGGAGCCGCGCAACCCTTCCGCTGACCCCGTAAGTTATAATAAATATTAATGCGGCTCAAACAACCGGAAGGTACGTATGCACGCGCGCGCGGTTGAAACTCCGTTAACCGGGCTTCACGTGTTGTATGAATAATTCACGGCTTACCGCAAAAACTTGTAACGCATTACATATTCACGACACATCCGTTAACCCCAGCTTGCCGCCGGAATTTTTCGCAATACACCCTTAATCCCTTGTCGGACTTCCTCTTCCGGAGTTATTAATCTAGCGGCCGTTACCGCGGCCTCGCTCGCGGTGTTTATTTGTCACTGTTATTTGGGTCCGTTGGTGATTCAACGAGTGCGCACTCAGATTCCTGCTGTGGGCGTGTTGCTAGGTGATTAATTGCGAACCTCATTAACGATTAAAAAAGGTGTATTAATGTTATGATTCGTGGTAATGTTAACTCTGCGGAATGTCGACATTTCGAGGAGAAGTTTCCATGTTTTGAAGATTAAGTCATAAACGAATAATTTAATTACTCAGACACCAATGAGCAGGTAGTTTCTGTTTTTCCTATCATTTGAGTAATTGATATGTAATTCAGCTTCATCTGATGAATATTTATATTTCAAAGAATCTTCTATAAAGGTCTAATATTGTCATAGTATTACGATTAATGGTTACTGTGATTAGTAATGATATTCTGGTTAACGGTAAGATTTTACTATGACTGTAGCTGGGAAGGTTGCTGGATTAATTACAGTATTCTTTAGAATCGCTGGAAATCCTAGAAAATGCTGGATTCTGTAAGGATCTTTGAAAGTTCGGTGAATGGTCTAAAGAAATTCTTTCAGTGACTATGGAGGCTTACAATATTACTTCGATGCTGAATTAATAGAGACTATTCAATGATGCCAATGGAAAGACTCATAAAAGGATCCAGTAAATAGGTCATCGGAGGACTCATTGAAAGTTACATTAAGGGCAGAGTTTCGAGAGTCCATCGTAGGATTCATTAAAGGGTCCATTGAAGAATTCAATGAAAAGTGTGCTGAAAGGTTCACGTCTGTAGGTCGGTGCTCAAAGTACCGCGGTGGAAAAAGGAAAGCGAGGATGGTTCAAAAATAGACAAAATAGCCGAAGATGGTCAGCGGAGTTCTTTCAAGCTTCCGACCATAAGACTTTCGAAGTGCCTTTGAACTGTGAGATGCTCCTTCGAGCCCGGAAGCTCGGTGCAGACTAGCAATTCTTACTTTCGAAGCACTATTTTAAACTCTCCACCGTGCACTCTTTTCTGTAATCCTTCTCCTCCGCCGTTTACTCGCAATCTTATACGATTTACTAACAAGAGACTGATATCTCTAAGTAAATCTCGATCGAAGAAATTACTCGAACAACGAACACCATGAATATTCTCCAACAACGCAATCATTATTATCAAGCTTTCCCCTAAAACTTCTTCCTACCATCGTATTATTAAATAAATTCAACCAATTAATTAACCCTTCGCACTCTGAGCAATTTCTGAAATGATCTCTCAGCAACTCCGAGTTCTACTAGCTACTCCAGAACTATTTCGATTATCGGAAATATTTTCCGTATTCTGTCATAAAAAGGCGTATACATTCTAATATTATGTTCCATTAATGCAATCACAATATAATAAAATCACGCACCAAACAACATCGTCACAACGGTGACAACGAAGTGCAGCACTAAGAAAAGTGTTAATAAAAACAAAACAATGATTCCTAAACGAATAACCTCCCCAAGACCGCCGAACACCAGTTCGACTCATTGACCCCTTGACCTATGACATATTTCACAACTAGATACGGCCGCTTTGTCATTAATAATTTATTGGGAAAACAGAAAAATTCTAAGCATATATTACGCCTACGTTTCCTTTCAAGTTAGTTTAACACGTTGAATGCCATGGGGGTCACCGGTGACCCCCAC